TGTAGCACCGTGCATCACCCTTGAAAAGATCTCAAGGCATCCCAGGAAGCCATGAGACCCTTGTTGCAAATCACTGGCCTGGCGATTAGGGTGTTCACCCAGAATGTTTGTGATGTAGGTTCAAGCATCTCTCTTGCTTTGTAGTTGTTTTTGGTGGGAAAAAAAGGCCTTGGCTGCATCCTGACAAAGCACAGGACTTATTTTTGAAAACTTGAAAATGTCTACTCATTTGGTTGTTTGTGGCATTAATTTCAAGACCCTTATTATGCATACACATTGAGATTAGGAGAAAAAAACTGGAATAGTTAGGATCACTAGTAAATGAGTATAAGAGGTTTGTTTAAGGTAACTGACTCCTGAAAACTGTATATTTTCTTTAGAGGTGGAGGCTAGAACAGCAAATAAGTAACAAGCATCTACAGTAAACTCTCTGGTAACCAGCACCTTACTGTCTCTAGTGGGTTATGGAATAGAGAAAATCCCACACAATTTACTGATTCGTTTTGATGCACTGGCTGGGGGAGTAGTTAGCTGATTGCACGATTTCACAATGATTACACACTTAATTTATACAACACAATTTTATTTTAAAACTCTTTGCTACGTATATAACTCTGCTTAGCTTTAAGAAACACCACAAACATTAAAAACACAATAATTACATATATCAGAAACAATGCTCCGAATGCACTTCCTTCCCAAACAATGCTATAAGAATTAGTGTTATAAAAACAACTACAATTACAACTAAAAGTTAAATTTGAATCAATACTATTATTTTCATAATATACTTACAATCCTAGAATTCCGAGAAGCCAAATACCAAAATATTGTTTCATTCCTCAGTAGTACGATTTAATGGGTTGGCCTCAGTAGTACGATTCAATGGGCTCGCCTCAGTAATACAATTCAATAGGCTGGCCTCAGCAATACGATTCAATGAGCTGGGCTCAGCAGTGATAGGACTACGTCCCCTTCCTTCAGTCCCTTTCAGGTGCTCCGCGGCTTCAGCGTGAACTAAGAGATTCGTGTTCACGGAGAGGCTGGAT